TTCTGCACATGCACGTATGCTTTGACACCCGAAAACGCGGAAGTAGGACACATCAGGGATGGTCCCATCCCAGACCGTGATGGGGCAGCGCCATTTAAGGCGACGCATGGGCTGACGGTTGTAGATATGAACGGCTGCCTCAACGGCGAGCTGCCAGAAACCGTGGCTAAGTCCAGCTTCGTGCAGCATAGACATGGCCTTCTCGACGATAGTACGGTTCCAGCGTTCAGCACGTCCATTCTGCTGTGGCGACTTCGGCATGGTCTTCTCGTGCTCGATCCCCAGAGAGCGAAGATGATCAGTGAATTCCTTAGAGGTGTACTCCCCCCCTCGATCCGAACGGACTCGCTTGATTTTCTTCCCGGTTTGGTTCTCAGCCCACGCCTTGAAGTCATCGAAGGCGCGAGGTGCGTCCGACTTACGCTTCAGATAGTAGGCACGTGCGAGACCGGAATAGTCATCAATGAAGCCCGCAAAGTACAAAAACCCGTTGATAGACTGGGTTCGCATTGGACCGTCCAGATCAGTGTGAACAAGCTCAAGAGGTTCGCTTGCACGCTTTTCTGAAGGCGGGAAGGAGGAGCGATGAGATTTGCCATAGGCGCATCCCTCGCAAGGTTCACTGTTCGGAGGATCGACAGCATCAACACCTTTCACGTTCTTAGGCAGCTTAGAAAGCGCCTCCTTGCCTGCATGTCCAAAGCGACGATGCCAGGTCTTATAGGAACGAACGGCAGGGTTAACGGTCTGACTAGCCGCAATCTCGAGATCTAACTCATAGAGATTGGAATGGGGCATATAAGCCGCCTCCAGGACCTTATGTCCTGGAATAGAGACCGTAGCACCATGAACGACAGAGCCCTTGGGCAGTTTGTCGAAGATGGTCATCTTCCCGTCTCCTTGGAAGAGCGAATAACCGTTACGCTCGATGGTACCAGTGGAGAAGAGCCGCGTCGACGCCCGAGGGACGTAGCAGACGTTAGGCATGGTAATCTCCCACTTGACCCCGTCGATAAATGTCTGAGCCTTAACCCGTGCCTTCACCAACACCTTGAACAACACTCCCAGCGCCTTGAGCGGCGGTGCTGAAGTTAATGGGGGGTGTCATAGTCTTGGTAGGTGGCGAAGTC